TAGCCTCAGATGACAGGGGCAACCAAAGCAGGAAAGGGACCAGTTGCGTAACCTGGCACAGATGGAAAAATGCCAGCCTGGCAACATTTGTGATCATCTGAGCCTCCACTGAAGCGGAGGTATACAGAATCACTCTTAAGGTCTTCACAAGCAGCCTTGATGTTAACAGCTCACCGTCAAGGGCTGAAAGTTGGCATTCCAGCCTGGGGTCTCTGCAGCTCAGCCACAGGACCTCTGTCTTTAACAGATTCAGTTTCAACCCACTCTGCTTCAGCCAACCAACCACAGCCTCTAGACCCCTGGCCAGATTGTCTGGGGCGGCATTTGGCCGGCTGGCTGGCCGGCCATCAACAGGTACAGCTGGGTGTCATCCAAAGCTCCATATCAGCTGGGCGAGAGGGCACATATAGATATTAAATAACATTGGGGAGAGGATTGCCCCTTAGGGAATCACTGCTGCAAGATCCACGGATTACTCAGATGAATTTAAAGACTATTAGATCAATTTGCAGAGGCAAGATGACAGCACAATGGAGTTTGTCTCCATAAATTGATATGAGCCCTGTGTAATGAAACCTGACAGAATTCAAAGTTGAGAAATCATTTCGAAAGCCATATGCAGGCCAAACTTGATCAGAAACTAGCAACCTTTTAAGCTGGGGAAGCGAAGAGGAGGAAACTTTCAAGGAAATTCAACTACAATCCAGAATCTTCTGCAGGGATTATGCCACACCAATAAACAGGAGTCTTGTAGACCTTAATGACTAACAGCTTTATTTTGACACATGCTTTTATGAGCTTCAGCACATTCCATTCATGCCGCGGATGGATTCTAGTCTACTGGTCTTCAGCCCATGTGTCAACCCACAGGTGGGTCATGGAGACCCCTCTGCTGGGACACAAGCCCCTCTACAGCAAACTGCTCTGTAGTGTCTTTTGGAAGCACCTGCTGCTTGTGGGCATTTGAGAACAATGGCAGCTCTGGTCATTTATACACTATTTTACTCCCCAATGGGAACCCAAAGAGGCTTCATTATTCTCCTCTCCTGAGCCAGATTGAGGTGACGAGAGAGGAGGTCCTAAAACTGATAGACAACTCAAAAACTGATAAATCACCAGGCCCAGATGGCATACATCCGAGAGTTCTGAAAGAACTCAAATGTGAACTTGTGGATCTCCTGACAAAAATATGTAATCTTTCCTTAAAATCTGCCTCCATTCCTGAGGACTGGAAGGTAGCTAATGTCACTCCCATCTTTAAAAAGGGTTCCAGAGGAGATCCGGGAAATTACAGGCCAGTCAGTCTGACGTCGATACCGGGTAAATTGGTGGAAACCATTATTAAGGAAAGAATTAGTAGGCACATAGATGAACAAAACCTATTGAGGCAGACTCAACATGGGTTCTGTAAGGGAAGATCTTGTCTCACTAACCTGTTAATGTTCTTTGAGGGGGTGAACAAACATGTGGACAAGGGGGATCCAATAGATATTGTTTACCTTGACTTCCAGAAAGCTTTTGATAAAGTTCCTCATCAAAGGCTCATAAGTAAGCTCAAAAATCATGGGATAGAAGGACAAGTCCTTTTATGGATCAAAAACTGGCTAATTAATAGAAAACAGAGAGTGAGTATAAATGGGCAATTTTCTCAGTGGAGGGAGGTAAGCAGTGGGGTACCGCAGGGATCAGTACTTGGTCCACTGCTTTTTAACTTGTTCATTAATGATTTGGAGATGGGAGTAAGCAGTGAAGTGGCTAAATTTGCGGATGATACAAAGTTGTTCAAGGTGGTGAAAACCAGTGAGGATTGTGAGGCACTCCAAAGGGATCTGTCAAAGATGGGCAAGTGGGCGTCAACATGGCAAATGGGGTTCAATGTGGCCAAGTGCAAGGTGATGCACATTGGAGCCAAAAATCCTAAATATAAATACACATTGATGGGGTCTGAACTGGCAGAGACTGAGCAAGAGAGAGATCTTGGAGTTGTAGTGGATAACTCACTGAAAATGTCGAGACAGTGTGTGACTGCAATAAAGAAGGCCAATGCTATGCTGGGGATTATTAGGAAGGGTATTGAAAACAGATCAGCCAATATAATAATGCCCCTATATAAATCAATGGTGAGACCTCATTTGGAATACTGTGTGCAGTTCTGGGCACCACACCTTAAAAAGGATATTATAGCTTTGGAAAAAGTGCAGAAAAGGGCAACTCGAATGATAAAAGGGTTGGAACACTTTCCCTATGAGGAAAGGTTAAAGCGCTTAGGGCTCTTTAGCTTGGAGAAAAGACGACTGAGGGGTGACATGATCGAGGTTTATAAGATTATGCATGGGAAAGAGCAGGTAAAGAAAGAGGTACTTTTCTCCCTTTCTCACAATACAAGAACTCGTGGGCACTCCATGAAACTGCAGAGCGGTCGGGTTAGAACGGATAAAAGGAAGTACTTCTTCACCCAAAGAGTGATTAACACATGGAATTCACTGCCACAGGAAGTGGTGGGTGCTACAAGCATGGACGGCTTCAAAAGCTCTGAGACCCATTAGGGGTCATGAGCGATATAGAAATCACATGTAAATAAATAAAATAAATAAAGATGGGCCTTTGGCCTGATCCAACATTGGCGTCTCTTATGTTCTTATTTCATCCTCATAACAACCCTGAGTTAAGTTAGGCTGAGTGTGTATGACTGGCCCAAGGTCACCCAGTAAATTTCCATGGCATAGTGAGAATCCAACTCTGGGTCTCCGATTCCAATTCAACCCTCTAACCACGATACAACACTGGCTCTGTCTGAATGCAGTCAAAGACCTTTTTTCTTTATCGCTCCTACTGGATCTATCTATGGCCTTTGCTAGGGTAGATAATACCGTCCTGTTGAGGCATTTGGAGGCAGAGGTAGGGATCAGGGGATGTGCCATGGACTGGTTTAAATAGCTCCTCACAGATCGGACTCAAAGGGTGACCGCTGGAGACCAGTAATCTTCAATGTGAGAGTTGTCTTGTGTGTTTACACAGTAAACAGTCTTATGTTGATGACACCCAGCTCTATATCTCTCTATCCAAATCTCCTGGTGATGCAGTAGAAGTCTTGAGCCACTCACTGCCCGACTGCTGTGGTCAAAAGGCTGAAAGCGAACAAACTAAACCCAGAAGAGACAGAAGTGATGCTGGCTGGGAAGGTGGAGATCTTGAAGGACACTGTGCTTTCCACTTCAGTTGACCTTTGCTGACTTTGTTAAGAGCCTTGGGTTTATACTTGCTGGAGAAGCAAGTAAATGCAGCTGCAAAAAATACTTTCTTCATACTCTAGCTTACAATATGGCCCCATCCCTCAACATGGCCAATCTGGCCACCTGAATCCACACCATGTAACATTGAGACTAGGATACTGTAATGTGCCCAACAGAGGAGTCATCATGAGTTGGTTGCAACTTGATGGCAAACTTATTTTGTACACCCTATTGCACTGTTTATTGATGTCCTGTCCTGTCGACTGTATTGACTTACACTTTAAGTCTCAGTGATAAATGCAGACTATAAATAACATAAAATATAGAGTGAAGGACTCTCTTTGCAAACATACATACTGAGGACAGATCAAGACGGGCAGTCATGTTAGTCTGCCTGTAGCAGTAGAAAAGAACAAGAGTCCAGTAGCACCTTAAAGACTAACTTAGGCTGCAGTCACACAGAACATTAGCCACGCTAGAGAGATGGAAGATAGGCGGATTTTCCGGGCACGATCTCACCGCCACATCTGGGAAGCGTAGAGCTCCCGTGACTTACCCGAGGCTTCCCACCGAAGATGCGGGGTAAAAAACTAGTACCTCCGAGGTACTAGTTTCCAGTAACCGCAGGGCAAGGGCGGGCGTCTGATCGCGTTTCCGGTGGCATCCGGCGCCCGCCCATGTCCCCTTGCAAAAAGGTTTTTTTTTCCCCTCCAAGTCTCCAAGGATGCGCACAAGCACCCAACGGAGCATGCGCATACTTTGATGTACAGAAAAAAACAAACCCATTTGCCGCACCGCGCCGCTTCGCGCCACAGGATTGTCCTGTGATCGGCACCTCCCCCCTACCCACGGGACCTCTGATCGCGCAACCACGCGTTATTTTGCCCCGAGGCAAACAGCCACGCCTCCCCCCCCGCAATATCCGGCCCCGGGGCCATAATATGTGGCACTGCTCACTTCTTCAGATACAGCTAGAATGGGAGTCCATCTGTCCTATTTATTGGAAAGTGGAGAGATTTCAGATGCCAAATGATATTAGCAGGCAAATGACAACAGCAGGTGAATGATAACAGCAGGCATGACTGGGTGTAGGTGAGATATGCAGAGGGGTAATAGGCCTATTAGCATTTGCCTGCTAATGTCATTCCACATTTCCTCCAAGGAGCTAAAGCTGGAAAGCACTGTTCTCCTCTCCTCCATTTTATCCTCACAGCCCTGATCCAGGGAAACTGATCTCTGTCCTCCGGAGATCAACTATCAAAGCGGGAGATCTCCAGGCCCCACCTGGAGGTTGGCAACTCTATCTGGGCGGGCGGGCAACCAACATCACAGAAGCCAGCACTCCCCAAAGCGAGGCAAGTACCATTCCCACCTGACAGAGAGGGTGGCACGGAACCAGCACCCTCCCGGATGAAAAACAACCGGAGAGCCAGGGAAGAGCGAGTGTTGCCTCTTCCCTATGCTAACAGTTTCTTGCGGAAGGAAAACTCACTTCTACCTTTTATGTTCCCCTCCCCCCCCCCCAAGTTGCCATGGTACGGTCCGTCACGGCCCTCTGTGAGGTGCAGAGGCGCCGCGCGAGCCCGGGAGGCTCCGTCGTCGAGTCGCGCGAACACGGCCAAGATGGCAGCGGTCGAGTAAGCGGCCAGGCGATCCAACGGCGCCTGCGCGGGGCTCCTCCCCCCGCGCTTGCCGCCCCGACCGCTTCCCACCCCCACCACCCCACCACCCCATTCCTTCGCCGGCACCGCTCTGCGTCAGCCCAAAATGGTTTTGGGGCTGCAGTGCCGGAGGTCCGTGGCGGTCCTGCACTTCCTCTGCTGCCTGTGGGCCGTCTTCGCCCTCTCCCAGAATATTGGGCTGCCCCAATCCAGCCGCTGGGAAAGAGACGACTCCTATGGGGGCCACTGGAAACATCTGACCTTCCTTAACCAGGTGGTGACCGTTAAGCCTAACCGCCAATAAGGCAAGGGAAGGTAGAGCGCGCCTGCGCAAAAGGGATCCTCAGTCATCCCCTCGCAGGTCGGAGCGGGGAGCCTTCAGTACGTACGGGAACCAATGAGAGGGGGCGGAGGGCGGGGCGGAGGCAGGTGCATCACCTGAGGTAAATGGCTTCGAGGTTCCCCCTCCAGTTGAGGGTCTCTCTCTCTTTTGCTATTGAGGACGTTGCTTTCCTTCCCCAGGCCTAGTTCTTTATTAGTTATATTTTTGTCTGTCCTTCTTCTGTTGCTATAACAAGCAAAGGTAAAAGGTAAAGGTTCCCTTGCTCGAAAGCCAGTCGAGTCCGACTCTAGGGTTGCGGTGCTCATCTCCGTTTCAAAGCCGAAGAGCCAGCGCTGTCCGAAGACGTTTCCGTGGTCATGTGGCCGGCATGACTAAACGCCAAGGCGCATGGAACGCTGTTACCTTCCCACCGAAGTGGTACCTGTTTATCTACTTGCAATTTCTTGCTTTCGAACTGCTAGGTTGGCAGGAGCTGGAACTAGAGATGGGAGCTCACTCCATCATGCGGCACCCGGGTCTTGAACTGCTGAACTACTGACCTTCCACAGCCTGCAGTTCAGCGTCTTAACCACTTGAGCCACCACAGCTCCATAACAAGCAAAGCTACCTATCTAATGATGCCAACAGGTCTGGAGAAAAATGCTCCTTTAACACAGGTTTAACGGAGCTGAGGTGGCTCAAGTGGTTAAGGCGCTGAATTGCAGGCTGTGGAAGGTCAGTAGTTCAGCAGTTCGAGACCCGAGTTGCCACACGATGGAGTGAGTTCCTATCTCTAGTTCCAGCTCCTGCCAACCTACCAGTTCGAAAGCAAGAAATTGCAAGTAGATAAATAGGTACCACTTTGGTGGGAAGGTAACAGCGTTCCGTGTGCCTTGGTGTTTAGTCATGCTGGCCACATGACCAAGGAAACGTCTTCAGACAGCGCTGGCTCTTTGGCTTTGAAACGGAGATAAGCACCAGTTGGACTCGACTGGCTTTCGAGCAAGGGAACCTTTACCTATCTACCTCTGTGCCATGAAAAGCTTTACCTACCCATTTTCTCATATTAGGGTTGCCAGTTCCAGGTTGGGGGGTGGAGCCTGAGGAGGAGTTTGGGGAGAGGAGGGGACGGACTTCAGTGGGGTATAATGCTGTAGAGTTGACCTTCCAAAGTGGCCATTTTTTCCAGGTGAACTGATCTCTGCTGCCTGGAGATAAATTGTAATAGCAGGAGATCTCCAGCTGCCATCTGGAGGTTGGCAACCCTATCTCATATTGACCTTCCCAGTTAAAGGGGAGAGACATTTTTCTCCATGTTGTTGGCGACTTATCGTCAGCCGGAAAGCCTCTGTGGCAGAGCTGGGATGCAAATCTGGATCGCCCAGATCCTATGCCTGCACTAACCATGCCATGCTGGCTCTTCTGTCAAAATGAGTTTACTGTAAAGAACTGTAATGACTTGTTTTTAATTACTCTTTAAAAACTGGTTTTTCATTGTAAGCTGACAGCATATTTCTGTTCTGAAGAGGCAGCACAGAAATATTATATATTTCACACACACACACGCTAGTGATGTAGTACAGCAAATAAAAGACATGAAAATGTAAGATTGTACCCCCCCCCAAAAAAATAATAATTGGCAGTGTATGGCCTGATAACCACCGACAAGGTCCAACATTGCCCCAAGAGTGTTTTCATTTCTGATTGCTTATCTGTACTGTGAAACAGACAGTAATATATTGCTTTCATGCAAAGTCAAATGCCTATGGTCAGAACAGAGTTACAGCAATGGAAATAAATATGTAATGTAGGGTCTGATCCTTCATAAGTAGTCTGGGTGGCGTCAGAAATTGCACCATAGCATGGAAATAAATCATAATGCTAGAAATCAATCACTTTCATTCTAATAATACTTTGCATCTGTATAGCACTTTGGAATGGTCAAAGACCTTCACATACGTTGTTCGACAATCTGTTCAATACTGTTGTTTGTATTTTTTTCAGTATTATTATTTCCATATTGTAGAGAGGGCTTGGGAGGGCTGAAATCCTATTGGTGTGTGGATGATTGGGTTGGGAATTTGAATCAGGGGCTTCCTGGCTCAGAGCTCCACCACCACGACACTATACTAGCCCCTAACAACCTTCACTTACATTTGAATTAAAGTGTATATTAAAATGCAATGTCTTCGGTAGTATTCTGTTTCAAATCCTTATCTGTGTAAACAAATAAACAGGTAATGATGGTGGTGTTGTACCCAGAAGTCTATAATTATATGTCTTCTTTGTAAATTCTACAGATTTTGCAGACAATACTGTTTCTGTTGTGCGTCATCATTGATTTTGTAGGTCTTTGCACCCCTTCCCATGAGAAGAAAGTTTCATCTCTATTGGTGCCTATCAGAGATTTCATCTTCTCAGTATTCGTCTTCCCTGTTGGCTTAGTAAGTAGTTACTGTATTTATTTTTCTAATAATTATGTAGTGTAAAGAGTCTACTATGTCCAAATGAAACAATGGTTTATACAAAATTTTAGATGCAGATGCACAAAATACTGATTTTGTATTGGGCCTGTGGCAAATTACTACAATTTGGCATATAAAAAGGGAAAACATTCCTGTCCCAAAGAGCTAATATAAGCTGAATGATTTTCATCTACGGTGCTTTATAAATTATTTGTAAATTTCTAATTTCTAAATTAAAGATTGTAACAGCGTAGTAATGATACTCAGCTCTATCTGGACTCCGCCCCTGAGAATTTGAACAGGGCTGTGGAGACCATAGCTGGGTGGTTACGACAGAGTCGGTTGACAGTGAATCCTACGAAGACGGAGGTCCTGTACCTGGGGGGCGGGGAGTGGATTCGGGAATTAAGCTCCCTACCGAGGACCGCTGGGTGCCGGCCCAGAAGGCGAGGAGCCTAGGAGTGACCTTGGATGTCTCACTTTCTATGGAGGCCCAGGTTGCCATAGTTGCCAAGTCTGCCTTTTATCATCTTCGGCGGATCAGGCATCTGGCCCCCTACCACTCCTCCCGGGACTTGGCTACAGTAACACAAGCAATGGTCACTTCCAGGCTTGATTACTGTAACTCGCTCTACATGGGCTTACCCTTTAGGCTGATCCAGAAACTCCAGGTGGTGCAAAATGCAGAGTGTGCCTGCTTACTGTGACACCTGCGTGTCCAGCTGGTGCTCCGCCAACTGCACTGGCTACCATTCAAGTACCAGATCCATTTCAAGGTGCTGGTGTTGACCTTTAAAGCCTTATGTGGCCTGGGACTGACATATCTATGGGACCACCACTCCCCATATGTGCCTCGAAGAGCCTTGCACTCTGCAAATAGCCATCTGCTGGTTGTCCCCGGCCCAAAGGATGCCCACCTAGCCTTAACCAGGGCCAGGGCTTTTTTTGCCCTGGCCTGGTGGAACATGCTTCTGACTGAGATCAGGACCCTGTGAGATGTGGTGCAGTTTTACGGGGCCTGCAAAACAGAGCTGTTCCACCAGGCCTTTGATTGAGGCAGCAGGCATCTATCAGCTGGCTTCCCTGTTGCTGCTACATGAGTCCATTATGGCTCAACTCGGCCCACTCATTCCCAGCTGTAGGAACTGAAAATTGAAATTACTGCACTGCAGGGTGCTTTCCAGGCAAGTGAGCAGCAGAGGTGGTCTGCCCTTGTCTTCCTCTGCAGAGTCTTCCTTGGTGTTCCCTTCGTAGTCTTCCAAGTACTGACCCTGCTTAGCTTCTGAGAACTGATGAGATCAGGCTATACCATGCCACCTTCCCTCCCTAGTCCTTTTCTACCGTTGTTTTTATACATTCAGGCCCTGGTCACACGGGCCAGATAACACGGGGGTGAGGCGTGGCTGTTTGCCCTGGAGCAAAGTAAAGCGCGGCAGCCCGATCACACGTCTGGTGGTGTTCCCGTGGTTATGCCGGTAGGTGCCAATCACACAGCTATCGCTGATAGGGAAAGTGCAGCAAAGAAGCGGCACGATCACACCGGCGATCACACCAGCAATCACTAGGCGCCGCCTACTGTCATCATCAAAATAATTCCCTTCATATTTAATATGTACTAAGCCTCTGAAATGATAGTCACATAAGTCCCCATACTTCGGCTTACTATCTAATAAGATGTAGAGAAAAGAAAAGGAGCAAGGGAACAGGATAGGGAAATGCTATGTCAATCCTAGATGAAGAAGAAAGACACGGAAATGTAACGTATCAGTAACTGTACAGAAAGAATCATAACAGGAAAGCAAGAGAAAAATGATAGGTAGCCCCAGAAAAGGAGGAGAGATAGCCAAATGGAGGGGAATGCTATAGGGAATGTTAAAGAAAATTCTACAGGTACTCTAAAACAGAACAGAAATGAAATAAGTGAGACAAAGTACAATACATGAAACCGTCAAATACAAACGTATTGTTTGCTGGCAGCAGTTCTCAGGTGGAGGTCGTTCACATCACCAGATCTTTCTAGTTGGGATGCCAGGGATTGAACTATGGTTGCCTAGATTTAAAACAGATGTTCTGCCACTCAGCCACAGCCGTGCCTCATAAGAAACAGGAGGCTTGACAAGCAAATTAATGTTGGAAGAATGAATACTATAAGAAGGAGAACCAAAGCACAAATAAGGCAGCCCAAGAGACCTCTAAGTAACTTTTTTTTAGATAACAGAAACTATTGGAGAGAATAATAAAAAGGGTTAGAAAGGAAGGGGATAGGGAAGGGGCAGTGGCTCAGTGATAAAGCATTTACTTGGCATGCAGTCCCCAGCATCTGAACATAAGAGAAGCCAATGTTGGATCTGGCTGATGGCCCATCCAGTCCAACACTGTCACACAGTGGCCAAAAATACCACGTGCCATCAGGACATCCAGCAGTGGGGCCAGGACACTAGAAGCCCTCCCAC